ATATGTTTTTCAGAAAATAACATTGTAAGGATAAGTTTATAAAAAAAATAAAACAAGTTGAGAAATTTAATGGTATACAATGTGTTACAAAAAAACTGTCACAAAATTATATCATACAAATTTAGGTCTAAAGCATCCAATTCACAACATATTCTCATATCATTATATATAGACAATTATAAAGACACCATTACTACTAAAAACATTCTAGATTGCTAACTTGCTTTTATTTTTTTGCAAGAACTTTGTATGAAATGTCACCTTTTATTAAAGAAATTCAGCATCAAACCCTATTACATTTGTGAAATAGGGGTGAATATAACATCCATAAGTTAGAAAAAATAACAAAGCTAAATTGTCAGACAATTTATAGATACATAAAAAAAATCAAAAAAATTAGAATAATAAAACATACTGGAAAAAATAAATGACCAAAAAAAAAGAACTGCACATGTCTCAAGAGCCTTTAAACAATATATCTGTTAAAATTCTACTATTTCTTTGTGAACCCTAGTTACAAAGCTATCAAAAACAGGTGTGGACATATCCTACAGAATTGTTAAAAGGCATCTCTATAATGTTGGATAAAAAAAAATCTCCCATGTGCCATTTCTATGCTTACTGATATCCAGAATCAAAATCGAATTTTGTGGATCCAATAACACCTCAATTATAATTGGGACCAAACTTTTTTCACAGATAATACAGCATTTATGCTTTTTAGAAATACTGTGGAGCATTGGTATAAAGGTATGTGACCAATTTGTCAAATGCCTAAAGATCGAACAAAGGTTTTTGTATAAGGAGTTTTTGTATCAGAGATAAATTAGATTTATTTTGTTTTACAAACATTATGAATGCAGAGTTTTACATAAATATCTTGCGTGACAATATCTTAAAGATTGGAGGTTTACTTAAAGATGAGTGGTGCTTTCAGCAGGATAATAACCCAAAACACACAAGTCATCTTGCTAAAGCCTTTCTTGAAGAAAATAATATTGAAGTTATGGACTGACCATTATGTAGTTAGACTTAAACCCTATAGAAAACCTATGGGGTATTGTCAAGGCAAATGTTGAAAAGAGAATGTCCAAAAATATTCAAGAATTGAAATGTTATTTGGCAGAGGAGTGGCATAATATTCTGGAATCTACCTTAATTGGATTGGTACAATTGATGCACTACAGATGTGAGCTTGTAATACAAGCAGATAGAGAACACATATCATACTAAATTATTATTAGAAAAGTTTTCTGGTTTTCTATTTTAAAATAAAAAAATTATCTTTTTTGATATAGTAGTTGTAACATAATAGTATTTTAAAGTTGTGACATTTTTTTTATAACATACTGTATATATATTTGTTAAGATATGTTGTTTATATGTTTAAAATTTCATGTGAATTGCTTTTGTTTTAAAAAAGTTATTTATATTTATATCACATAAATAAAATTCTAAAAAGTTTTGTTACACACTGTATATAATCTTTTATTTTAGATTATACAACATATATGTTTTCTTTATTATATAATTTATTGTTTTAATATTTATGTTCACATAATAGACAGCATAATAAGCTTATGCACTTGAAAAATATATAGAGAAAAGTTGTTAATAGAATCAACAATTCATATTTTCAATATTAATATTTTTGAGCAATAGTTTTACTTAGTCAAGTTTGATTTCAGTGATATTAGTAATTTTATCTTAAGAGTTACAGTATGTATTGAATCCATGTTTTGAAACAACTAAAAAAGAACTGTTTATTTTAGATAATTTATTATTAGAAGGATAAAGTATAATATAAGACATTTTTAATTTTAGAATTCAATTATTCTTTATATACAGCAGCTATTAAAAGTAATATCTAGTTATTAATTTTATAGTAAAATATATAAAATTTTAAAGATACAAACAATATATTCTAATAAATACATTTATGTGTTTTTTTAAAACTTTTAAAATTATTTTGCTTTTTTTTATAAACCAATCTTTATAATATTATCCTTAAATTAAAATACATATTAAAAACCATATTATAATTAATTTAAATATATCAATATTTTTTACAATTTAAAAAATCAAACTTTAAAAATAATAATTAAAAATATCAGATAAAGTTATTCTAAAAAGACTATTTTATATTTATTAAAAAACAATTGATTAATATTTACAATATATGGGTAATTATTTTTGAAGGTGACAAAAATGCTAAATATGATTTTTTTGGATCCAGCTTTTAAACAATACATATATAATATAAATTTTAGGATCACATCAGAAAATTTCCGGTCTACTTTTGAAAATAATTAACCATATTATAATTTATCAATATTAATGTCAAAATATTATATTATGAAAACAATTTATTTTTAAAAATATTTAAGCTTACTATTGTTTAAACTTGTTTAACTTAAAAAAAAAACATTAATAATAATTGAAAAAAAAATCCTATTTCCAATTAATAATATTTAAATTTTATAAAAAAATTTTTTTTTTTGTTTCAAAAACATTATAAATATAAAATAATAATAATAAATTTAAAATCATTAAAAAAAATCATGGTTTTAATTTTATTGAAAATTTTTTGAGTCATGGTTTAAAAAAATAGAATGTAATTATCAAAAAAAAATTAAAATTAAACCAATTTATTATAGAAAAAATAAAACAAAATTTCAAATACAGTAAGATCATAATCAAATCTCATAAATTCAATAAAGAAAATATGTGAATCAATAATTAAAAATGACAATAAAATAATTGTTCATTAACTATATGTCAATAAAATCTTTATATTTAAATTTAAATTTTTATGTTTTTTATTGATTTTTTATGCGCCAATTTTTGAATAATAAATAAATAAACAATTTCAAAAGGTTTTGTAACATACTAGATGTTACTATAATTGTAATATAATTAAGATTAATTTCAAATTATTTGAGTTTATATTTTTTTTGAAAGCCACCGTGATATCATGAACCTAATTTGTGAACAAAGTAAATAAAAATACAATAATTTTTATTCATTGAATTAATAGTAAGAAATACGCTCAGAAGATAATTACGCCGAGGGTCTAATAAACCTTACGTAAATCTTGGTTTGTATGTTTGATTTCAAATATGGATTTCGTGTTGTGAGGAATCTATTTAAATAGAATTCAATTCTTATCAAATAGCCTGTTATAATAAAGGCAAGATTTAATCGATAGTATTAGCACTTTACCTCCACTAAATAAATCAGGATTAGGCAAAAGTTGACTTGTATATACAGCCGTAGTGTGGGTGTTGAGTTTAAGTTGTGAAAAATCAATTGAATAATCTTTTTGCAGACGCGCACTATCTTCTTCAATAGATTTAACCTGTCTATATATCTCGGATTCCTCAATTTCTAAATTAACATCATCATAATAACGATTTAGGATTTTCCTTAGTTTTTTCGAGGATGGGCGTTTCTCGAGATTTTCGTCTAAACATCTCTCTATCAAATCCTCAAGAAGTTTGGGAATCGGGCGTCTGATTTTCGGGCGAAGACCGTTGTAAATAGAATGTACAAGATGTATATCGTGTGGAGCGTCATGAAACGGCGGATAACCCGTAAACACCTCTGTCATAATAATCCCAAATGAGTATACATCTGACTTTAGAGTATACTCTTTACCTTTTAGTACTTCTGGAGCAACATATGGAAGCACACCATAAATATTATTAACTTTAGTCGAATCCGTAGTTATTGGTTTGCATAAACCAAAATCCGTGATATGTGAAGCACTTTTGCCAGTCATCATTATGTTACCAGAATGAAAATCTTTATGTACGAGACCTTCTTTGTGAATTCGAGAAAGACCAATAGCTATAAATCGCAAGATCTCTAACTTGTTTATCCAACTTAGTTCATTATAGGTTTTGTAAAGCATTGATCTGAGGCTTCCTTTTTCTGCATACTGCATAACCATCACAAAGCCATCTTTCTCGGGATCTTTGGTGATCCCATAGACCGCAATTGCTTTACCGTTTTTTCTGAATTTAAGTTGGTTCTTGATCTAAAATTAATTAGCATAGTACATTTATTATTTGATTATACGTCTGAGTGAAATGAATCTTAAATTATTACCTCTTGAAAAAACTCCTTCGTAAAATGCTTGAGACTTTTTAGACAAGCTAAGTCACATCGATCTATTGAAATTTCTCCATTTCTTTGCCATTTTTTTTTCTCATGATCCCACCATTTAATATGTCCTTCAGTCCATATGGCCCTGGAAACAGAACCAAAACCACCACTAGCAACGTATTTTACATCTTTAAATTTATAATAAGGAATCCATTCAATGATTTCTTCGCTTTCACTTGCATTGCATTGTATCTCACGAATAAATTCGTCAACTTCTTTGCTACCACTTGTCCAATTATTCCATTCATTTTTAAATCTTTTAATATTGCATTGCTTGCACCATTTATGCCCGGTGTTTGGTTGTTGACATTCCTCACATGTTCCAAAATTTTTTGATCCTTCATTATCAGAACTAGACTGTGAATCACTGTCTAATTTAATATCGTCGTTAGAAATAAATAGTTTTTCTTGTTGGTTATTCATATTTTAATATGCTACAAGCAACAATTATAAATTTTAATAAGTTTTTCCTTTCAAAAGAATTGTTGCCCTGTAAAAAAAAGAGTCAAACCTTGCGAAAAAATTTAAAAACAGACGAGTGTTACTGTACTGTACGATTACGTACTGCATTCACAAATTAAGAAGGATTTTCGAAACGTTATATGAATACAGTACAATTATAAATTCGTAACAATTATTGAGAATCAAACCAGATGAGTCATCAATACCTTAATTATGCTATTGTAATGGTGGGAAACGGCGAGTCTGTCGCTTGCACACAGGTCTGGTCGCGGCACGTCGCACAGCATCTAAGTAGGCCCACTTTGCACTATTTAGATATATGGTTCGTGTCTTCACAAACACTATTTTCTTCTTGTCTTGTAGGCGAAAGAGGCAATTGGATTTGATCGATCTTCGTCCGTCGGTCACATGATCACTGGCGAAACTAAAAGCTAGCACAACAAAAATAGAACACAAGGATTTTATCACACAGATAAAAGTTATACGTTAAATGAGCACATATTTGATGCCTTTATTATTACAAAAGCTAAATGTACTTAAAATGTTGTAATTACTCCAATTATCTCAATTATTCTTTTTACTCTAATTACCTTTTTATTTTAATTATCCTCTTTACCCCACTTATTTTTATCGCGATACCCGATATAGAATCGCGTGGGAAATCCCCCCTTTTCCTATAACACTACTGTATATTCAGTATTGGTATTGCTAATTAGCTTAGCATAACAATATGAAAGTAACAAATAATACAATATATATTGTATATTTATTATATGTTTGTGATAGTAATGCTTATAATATGTGCAATTATAACCAAGTATAGACTTTCGTGACTTTGATAAAATTTAATAAAAAAGTGCATTAAACGAATAGAGATTGAAAGGAAATCAATTAAAATAAAATAGAAATATGATAATGATTTTCTTTATGTTGAATTCGCGCAAGCCAATTACTGTAAGCTAAGGTTATCTATCCGCTTATTTCAATATGGCACAAGTATCCTGCATTTGCAAAATATCAAATTAAATCTCAATACTTCAATATGTTATAGATTGCTTCCTTTGGAGTACTTTAATAGAATTTCACAATGTCTCGAAAATTTATTCATTTAAAAGTAAAAATGAATAGCATGGCATTAAGGTGATTTTTATAAAATAAAAATTTATTATGTTAATATTTTATTTTTACTACATAAAAAAATATCTACCAATGTGTTGCACATCTCTTTTTTTAATAACTTCTTTACACAATTTAACATAGTATCTATAAAATTATAAGTCTTATCAAATATATATTACTCGATGCTGTTGTAACAGCTTCTTTTAAATATAATTCATTATGTAATTTTCAGTTTTTATTAATCTTAACTATAACTTCTCTTCATATGTATATGTTCAATTGGATTAAGGTCTGGTAATTGTAATGGCCATTTCATAGATATTATTTTATGTTAGGATTTAATTTTGTTTACAAGTTTGGATTTATAGATTGGCATATTATCTTCTTATAATATTGCTTTATTTGTAATTAAAGTTATTGAATAAATAATATTTAGAATAAAATCTCTATTATCAACTTTATTCATATAAGATATAGTATAAGTTAAATGGCATATATTTTAACCAATTATGTTTTCCAAACCATAATTACCTTGCAATCACTTTTACAAGTTGCTTATATATAGTTTGAATAATAAAGTTCATATTTATAACATTAAACTCTAATCTTTTCATTTAATCAATACTTATAAATAATTTATCAGTTTATAAGACCTGCTTCCAACCTTT